GTCTGTGTGGCGTAGTTGGTGGATGTCAGGGCATCGCTGTCCTTGAAGAAGCCCAGCAGGGTAAGCAGTGGCAGGAGGGTGTCTGCATGGCCGATCTGGACCGTTACAGCTTCAGTCACCTGCTGGCCTGACCTGACATTTAGGGCAAACAGGGTTCAGAATTTAACATAACTTCTGCTGTAACACTGAAAGACCTGAATTTCACAACTGCAAGCAGCAACAAAACAAACTAGATTGAGACAAGCAGATAAAACTGATAATTGGAATAATCTATTTCACTGAAGGTTTTTTGATCAAGGTCTTCAGCAATACATTTCTAAGGACTGCAGGCCTCTTACTTGTTCTCATCGGCTGCCTTGTTCAGTCGTCTGAACACGTCATGAAAGAGCGCGCAGCTTGACTTGCTGTTAATATCATAACCGTAGCCCCTTTTCCAGAATTCCCTCAGGTCACTTGCATACTCCATAACCTGTGGGCGCAGTTCAAAGGTAGCCTGTATGTGGGAGGGCTTTAAGCAAAGACTTTTAAAACAAGAATATCCAAATTTAGCAAGCTGCTAGTTTTGAGTGTTAGGTCAGCTTGTAATACAACACAAAACACTTTTAAAACAATATAATGCCCAAGGGTTTCTCAATGATTTAATATCAGTGCATGAACTTCTCTGTTCATGCACTGATATTAAATTGTGATTTTTGTTTTGCTTTTGAGTGTACATACTCTTCCTGGAACGAACCACTTAATATTCATATTCCTAAAAACAAAGCATAACATAGCAATAGGATAGATGATTTGTCTAATGCTGAGGGTGCCGAGTACCTCTGACCTGGATTAGGCAGAGATGTTTGTTTGGTCTGTCCTGTTAGTGTTGGATTCAATAGTTGGTTCAGTTTCTGTACGATCCTGTGCCCTCGGTTGACCAAAGTGTCGGTCTGATCAAGTAGCTCAAGTGCTACTTTGTTGTGACCATATGGTAAAATAAACCCCAGACCCAAACTTAAGCCTCACGCTAACCCTGCGTTCTTTCCACTCCTACCTCTTTCCCATCTGTAAAGTCCTAGGAGACTTGCTTGTGATAAATTTGAACAATATTTGCTTATGAATAAAAACATCCTGTTCTACACTTGCTGATTAAATAAAAAAACCTATAAATAAATGAACTTGTGATGGTGAAATAGTACACAAATCCGGCTGCCAAAGTTGCAAAGTACAGACATTTTAAAATGTAGATCTGTTTCAGCAGTGTCTAACAGCACTAGTTTTCACAGAATATTTTTTAATATGTCACAGTAGGAAAATCAGAGCTGTAAATAATAAAATTAATGATGGCTAAATTCCATTTAGCTGTTCCAGTTTCAGAGTCCTGGTGTTGTGCAAGCTGACTCGCTGTCACACAGCCAAGACTTACTAAGGCACTTGAATAGAACAGACCCATCATTACTGTAATTAGTAACACCTGTGCTTCATCTACTAAGGCATATTTATAGACTGTAATAAATTACTCCATAAATAAATGAACTTGAAACAAGCAGCTCACATTTTGACCAGCGATTATCTCCT